ACCTGAGCCAAGTTAAATTAAATAGAATATGCAGAATAGAAAACACTTGCGTGGGTGTGTAGAATGTTTATGAAGAATATGCATAAGATTTAACTGATGAGTATGGCCTCTTTCACCTTAATGATAAAGGCAATGATTTGATAACAAAAAGCTCAGTGTATGGGTTTAATAATAGTTAATAACTGTAAGAATAATATTTCTCACCCATTCAAAACAGGCCACCAATAATAATAGTAATCTTTTTTTTTTTTTTAAATCCCATATTTGAACACAGTCTGTGGTTTTGTTTGATCTGGGCAATTAACACCAGCATCAGCTTTACCCTTCAACCTCCTTCCCCTCAGCAGAGTCTGAAGCTTGATATATGGAGAGGTGTGAAGTGGCTTCTCACTTGGCTGAACTGTGAGTGTTAGTGGACAGCAAAGAATGCAACAATCATGTGTACGTGTGTGTGTGTGTGTGTGTGCGTGCGTATGCGTGACCATGCATGGACTTTATTAGCAGCTGTTTTCACACGGCTCCTCAGAGCCCTTGTCAGTTTGATGGCTCTGTGCGTATTTAACAGAAATCAAACAGATCAGTGACAGAAGGTGAAAGAGGAGAAAGAGACCAACCACTTTTATATAAAAAAAAGATGTGTTTGGGTCATGGTTTGGACAATAATCTTCAAGGTTGTATGAGAATGAGTTTCAATTTCATGTCTTTCAAATTTGGTTGGATGACATCGCTACTGTAATGAAATAAAGACGTTTTTCACATAAGCCTATGCAGTAGTTCACCCAGACCTGTAGCCTCTTAGAGCCCACCTGTTTTAAACTTACTTTGCATCCATTTGCATTTGTAAATGTAATAAACTTATAAGAGAAGGAACTGTAAGGCCAAAATGCATTTATGAGACATCATTTGAAAGGTAACATATTCTAGTTTCTGAAAAATGTGCTTGTTTTGCATGTGACTACAAACCAAACCTAAACTACATCAGCTCATACACTGTATTTTTTTTTTAGTATTTTTCAGTCCTTGCCTGTAAAAAAGTCATATAACATAACTGCCAACAGGATATACTTTATACAAGAACAATGAAAAGCTCCACAATACTTCTGCATCTTGTCAAAAACTCATCTGTGAAGATTTAAGGCCTCTAGGCCTAATAGTTTAACATTTTTCACTGGTGCCCGTAAACCTCTCTTAAAGGAAAACTGGGAGAAATGTGCTTTAACTCTTTAATATGAAATAATAGAATAATAGAATAAATAGAACATATTGAAGAATTTTGAATTCTGAAACCTTTTTGAACCATTCAAAACAGAGCTGATCACAACAGCACCACCATTATTTCCAATGGCTTGGTGACGACAATATGTCTCTGCGCCAAGCAGTGCCGGTTCTAACTTGTATGGTCCCCTGGGCAAATAGCCCCTTCAGCCCCCCCGCCCCAGCTACAACTAAAGACACACTATTCTGCACAAACTGTAACTTTTTATCAAACAAATTATCATAACCTGTTTGTTATACAAATTATGATAATTTGTTTAAAAAATATAATAAAAAAAATATAATAAATAAAATATAATAAATAAAATAGGTGTCTGCAGTGTGTCTGAAAATATTTCTGTAAATTTCTATAATAATATTCCTGTGATATTATTCCTGAAAACAAACTGTTAATCCTGCAGATATTTCTGAAAACATCTCTGTTAAAGTTCTTAAATATTCTGATAATATTGCTTTCATGCTAAAATATTCTTGTAACAAATTATCATAACTTTTAAAAACTAAATAAATGATGAATACCAATTATACAATTATAAATACCAAAATAGGGATAGAGTCTCTGTCTCACTTATATACACACAAATAACATAGACAATCAAATTACTAAACTGCTACTAATCTTTCTTGCTTTCATCCTCAAGTCGTACCGAAATTATATACAATCATAAATATCAAAATAAAGTAACACCTCTCTCTCTCTCTCTCTCTCTCTCTCTCTCTCTCTCTCTCTCTCTCTCTCTTTCTCTATAAAATAAAATAATCAGTGTTCCACTTTCACTACATGCTAGACATTTAGTCATGAACCATTTTCAATTTACACATGGATGATACTGCTCAGCTAAGTTATAGTTGTTAAATGTTTTTGCCAATGTTAAATGTATCTTTAGATGTTAACAACCAGACTGTCAACACAGCTGCAAAGTTAAAATTTTATTGTGGTGTTTTTTGTAAAAGGTTTTATTTGAGCTGTAAGCTTGACATATTGAATGGCCAAGCCATGGCAGCATGGTTTTGTCTTTTGTTTGGTTTTAATATGGCTGTGACAAAACAGATACTCCCATTTTTAGACACAAGTCCAAATGTAATGCACCCAAAATAAAAACTGTTCTTCCGCCCTTCCGACCACAGTCATAACCCTCTTTAATTTGAAAACAGGGTAGGCTATTTAAGGTCTGCAATACCTTTTTATGTGGAAAACACTTCGGAGTTATAGCTAGAAGTCTGAACCAGTGATAGGGGGATCCTGAAATGCTTTGCACAGATAGAATCGAGAGCCTTAGCTTTCAAACAGCGTATTATTTGTCAAGTCAGGTAACTGACTCCTACACAGGTGCTACAAAAGCCAAATTGTCACATATAGGTGGTGTGATGTATTGTAGAAGTTTAGTCTGCAGTGAAAGGTCAAATACATGCTGTTCTCTTACTCACAAATGGCAATGGAAACATTTCCTCATTTTCATTTCCTCTTTTACCTATTGTTGTATAACATTTAAATATTACGTAACAACTAGACAATGATCCATTTTCTTTATATATCACAGTGGGAAACACTGAGGATTCTCACTCACCAAGCACTTTATTAGGAACACCTGTACACCTATTATTCATGCAGTTATCCAATCAGCCAATAATGTGGCAGCAGTGCAATGTATAAAATGTGGTTATATTTTTTTATTATTATGAAACAGCTGATCTCCTGGGACACACAACTGAGTGTTGTTGCTGACCACGTGCCTCCCTTTATGGCCACAATTGACCATCTTTTAATTGCTACTTCCAGCATGATAATGCACCATGTCACAAGGCAAAAGTCATCTCAAACTGGTTTCGTGGACATGACAATGAGTTCAGTGAATGTCAGTGGCCTCCCCAGTCACCAGATCTGAATCGAGTAGAACACCTTTGGGATGTGGTAGAACAGGAGATTGACAACACAAATGTATAGCTGACAAAAGACATTATGTGATGCAGTCATGTCTCAGAGGCATGTTTTCAAAATCATGTGTAATCCAAGGACTGAGGCAGTTTAGAGAGCAAAGGGAGGATCTCCCCAGTGTTAGTATGGTGTTCTTAATAAAGTACTAGGTGAGTGTATGTATTTACATTCAAGTATAACTGAGAGGTTACAACATAACATGTTATGACACTGTCTTTGTGCAACAGGAATAAGATACATTTACCACACGGGTAGAAACCTCTTGTGGTGTGCTGACTTTATCGCCCATATCTGTGACATCATGTATCTCAACAGAAAGCTACTGGCCCAAATCTCTATATTAACTGTAATAATATTTTTCCAACAGTTTCATCTTTTTGTGTGGACTAAGTATGGTGCTGACCAAACACTTCCACCGAGGTGTTACCAAGGCCAAATAGCCCCAGAGGTTGCATGATCTATTTCAAAGGAAGGTGAACTACAGTATGTTCTTCTTCTTTCCTGAATTTCATTTCCTCTTTTACTTGATGTTTAAGATTTCCCCTTTAAGACTAGACACTGGCTAATTTTCTTTATATATCACAGTGGGAAATAGTGATGTAAGAAATGTATTTTAAGTCAGTAGTACGCACATACGTACGCATATTGTGAGGTCTGTTATGGTCATATTTATAACTTGGTGGCTGTTTCAGCATCCTGTGATATCTGAGCTCTAAAATGTGTCATCATTCAAGACTCTTTTTAAGCCCAGTTTTTATTGTTTAGTCCTTTTTTGAGTATTTCTTTATTCAACAATTTTTTCTTTTTTTATTACTTATAAATTTTATATGGTCTGCAGCTAAGATGTGTTCTCAGCATTAAAAATACATTGTTTTTTGTTTGTATAAACTTTAATTTGATAAAAGTGCAGCTCTATTCCAAACCATTCAGTTTGCTTCAACATAGAAGTTAGAGGCGAGATGGAGAAAAATACTAATCAGTCACAATCCTCCTGTATTGAAACAGCAATGCCAAAGAACCTGTGGTCCTGAGGGCTTCAGCTACAACTGTCAGATAATTTTTTAAAAAGTATTATAATGACAGTTATGGAGTAATACATTTTATTTTTTCTAGATCTATTTAGTAGGGAGATTCAACTGTTTTTCACTATTAAACAACAGAAGCCTTTCCAACAATCTAGGACACTTGAATTCTACAAACCCTCTTTGTAGTGTGGTATAACTTTTATCTTATAACGCTGAATGTCTCGGATCAATCAGATGTCAACTACAAACGTATGTGGATTAATTCTTTATCAGCTTTTACCAGACCAGTGTCTTTCCACCAGTTATCAGAGTTCATCCTTGCAGTCACAGAGCACAGTGTGTTCTGTACACTCTCTATTGTTTGGTCTTATACACACACACACACACACACACACACACACACACACACACACACACACACACACACACACACACACACACACACAAGACATTCAGTAGGATTAGATAAAAGCACTCCAGTGCATGGGAACTGGAGGCGGAACAACACCTGTCTTTGGCTGAGTGAAGTGACAGGACGCAGAAGGACGGCTCAGCCCTCTGGACGAGGAGCTTTATATTAAAACCTTTGACCTGTCCTTCCCCCTCTGCTCATTGTTGTGCTCCTCACATAACAGTTGATTTCTTTGCTTTTAGTGCACATTAGCAACCTTAAGTGCCACAAATGATTTTGTTCATGGTCAACCGTAAGAAGACTCAGATGATCTTAGATTTATTCATACATTTATTACATTGAATGCATAATCACAAATGTCACTTCATGCATAGATACATTAAAGAAAGCATCAAAGCAAAAGAACATAAAAGGTGTAGAGGGGTACTGAGAACCACATTTCTCAAAGTGTCTGCTTAACTACAACTGCACACATAAGATTAATGTTGACCTAATTAGCAAGATTTAAGTTCTTGATCCATGTCACAGGATGCAACACGATTTCAAACTTCATTAACTTCAGCTTTTTTTTCACAGTTTCTTTGTGTCCTGTGAGATTTGCTCTCAAAAGTGCAGTCCTGCATCTTGGACTTGAAGATCCTTTTGAAATATTGATTCTGCTCCTCTGTGAACATGTTTTTCCAGTCACCAGTTTTACCTGAATCGTAGGAAGGGAACAGAGAGTGAAGCAAAATGAATTATGTTTAATTAAAGGTCAAATAGGTTATTTTCAAAACCATGTAAACTACAGGTAAATCTATATACAGTATACAACTGTTGGCTCTTGCTACCTTTTAAAGAAAACATTTTTACAGTCTGGGAAATACGCTGATTCACTTCCCTATTGAGAGTTAGATGATACCGCTCTCATGTCTATTTAGTAAATGTGAAGCTATAGCCAGCAGCCAATGAGCATAAAGACTGTAAATACAGGAAAACAGCTAGTCCAGCTCTGTCCAAAGGTAACAAAACCTGTCTACAAGCACCTCTACATTTTGGTCTTATTGTGGGTGTGAACTGTGAGCAGTTCAACCAAGACAAAGAGATGTTTCCTTCTCTTAATATTTAATTTCAAGGATTTTTAGAGGAGAGATGAAAGTTTTTCATGATAACATTAGCCAATTAGTTTTTCTTTTTTGACTTTTTCATCCTCTCAGATTAATTTTGGGACCTTTTGGGAGGTCCTGACCCCCAGCCTCACCTTTCCTCATGAAGGAGCCCTTGCTATGGTCCATTATCTCATCAGGGACGAGGGTGTAGTTGACCATCTCGTTGTCTTTCATGCTCGTGAAGCTGCAGTATTTCACACAGTTTTTGACCTCGTCCTCCACCAGGGGACACTGTAAGAAAGCGCTGATCCTTTTTATGGCACCATGTAGGTCCTGACAGCAGGAAGACGACGGATAATAATATTAAAATTTATTCAAAAAAGGAACTGATCGTCACAACACTTGTATGACATGTATGGTAACTGGTAACAGCTTAGTTTGAATAGGACCCTGTAGAGTAAACAGATTGGGGAACAAAATAAGTATCTTACAAGAAACTGTAATGTTACTTTTTATGTACAGTGTTTTAATGTACAGTTTTATGTGTTGTGTTATTAGAAAGATGAATCACTCTTCTTTTACCAATGACATCTCTTCATAGGTGATGTGAAGCAGATTGTCCATAGTCGCTGTTTGACTGATCCAGCCTTTGAAATGGTCAAACCAGGAGCCAAAGTTCACTGAAACAAGTAAGTGTGGAAAAATACTTTGCATTTCATCAAATTATACTTTTGGCTGCAAATTATAAACAAAAAGGGGGAAAAAAACTTGTCCACATGTCCTTTGTCTTCATGTCAACTCACGTGTGCCCTCCAGGAATCGATCTAAAAACTCTGGAAATGTGCCAGCCTCAGGGAGAAATTTGGCTATTTTGTGGAAGTGGTAAAAAGACACCACCACATCTTTAGGATTTCTGCTCACGTAAATGACCTGTGAGATGACATAGAGCAACACTGTCAGATTGTTTGGTTAATACTGATGTTGATCTTTACTACACTACAGAAGCAGTGTAGTTGAGAAAACAGTTTAAAGTTTTCAGTTTGGACGACAAACTCTACAACACATTGAAAAATTGTAATGTGTTTCTGTCTTTTAAGGCTGATTATTTTACCCCCCCAAAAAACTTGTTACCATAGAACCGACACAGTACCCAAAAAATGCAGATGTCTTTGGGTAATCTTTTTAACGTCTATTTTGAAAGCACCGTAATAGCCTATATTAACTTACCTAATATAATACATTTAAATATCAAATTTAAAGAGATTAACCATCAAATCAAATGAAAATCACCAGAGTCAAATAAGTAGATGGCAACTATTTGGATCTGCCAACTTTGTTTGTTTTTTTCCATCATGAATTGAATTATTAGCTGTTGCCTGAATAACAAGAGGAAACAACAAAATGTCAGTTTATTGAAGTGGATATTTTCCATTTACAGATAACAACTAAAATAAATAACTAAATTTAACTCTAGTTTTAGCTTAGGCACAGCAATCTCACAAGCTAGCTTTCACTTGACATTGCCTCCTTACTTTAGCTGTGTAGTTAGCTTGTCTTTCTATGGTAGGGAGTGCAGTAAGTGCAGTGACGAGTCCTACAGCACACAGATTACAAAGCCAGAATTCAGTAACTACATAGACAAAGCGTGGATACTGCGTTTAGTGGTCTGCTATAACTCAACTTTGACCTAATGTAGTTAGTGCCTTTCTAGGGGCGCAACAACTTATCCAATGATGTCTAAATCAAAGGGAATAGCTACAGATTTTTCTTCTGTGTCTCTGCCCAAAAGTTTTATACACACCACCCACCCTCTGCTGATACTCACATCACAGTTATGTTGAAAACAGGGATACGCCTTAAAAACTACAACTCATCTCAAGCTAGACAGTGTGTGTCCTTGAAGGGCTGGTGGTAACTACACACTCACAGCACACAGATTACCAAGCCTGGGTAGCAATACAAAGCCATAATGCAGCAATAAAACAGTAAATATGCAGATACTGCATTTGGTTGTTAGGGCTGTTTTGTTGCAAATTTAAAAAGCTGTCTTCACAGAAATGCCATATTTCTATTTCATGTTTTGTATATGGTAAAACAGATTTTGGAGAGCCAGATACTTATAACTCTGTTTTAACCAAATATGTAGTTTCTTCATTTTGCCTTGTGTATCTATACTTACACAACAACTTTGTGGTCCAAACATCTCATAAACATGTAAATCTGACCTTGGCTTTAGAGCCCTGGAGCATTGGACCCAGTAAGTGATGAGGCAGGTGTGTGGTGATGACTCGAGGTGTGGTGGATGAGGCTTCCAGTACCGCAGCACAATAGTATTGCTCCAGCCAGGGAGCCCTGGTCCAGTTTGGGACATTTTGGGTCAGATGTGGGTCCCCTCTGCAAGATATGAGGGACACAATTTCCTGCATCCATGTGGTGCCTGTTGAAAGAAAAGGGAGAAAGATCTGAGATGACTTTCATCAAATTCATTCATTAAAAAGCAAAAAAAGTTACTTTAAACAAGTTCAAAATCCTATACTGCAAAGTTATGTCTAATGATGTAAATGCTAGTCATTATGTTACCGTGCAGTTTCAGCAGTGAGTTGCTTATCATGCTCATGTGGCTAGTTGAATAACATTTGAAAACATTACATCCACTATGCAGCTTCATCAGTTTATCGGCTCTAGTTACCTGACTTTGGATAGGAGGCAATGAGGATATCCGTATCCTGAAATGGAAATTTGAGAGCAAGTTGCAAGGATTCCTGGGTGTGCAGATGTCCAGGAAACAAAATACCATGAAACATCTCTGTGACATCCAACCTGGCCATATCCAACCTTAATTCAAGTATTTGCTGTTCTCTGTCTCTCTTTTTCAGCTTCCTCTTGACTTGTCCTCCTTTGGTGTAAACCTTTCAGTTGCTCTGCCTGACTGTCTCTCTCTCTACTCAGTCTTTTTCTGTGTCTGACTGTGAAAGGGTGGATGATGCTTCGATTGACTAAACAGGAAATGACACTTGCCACCGTTGACATACATTTGTGAGATGAAAATTAGCAAAACCGGAAGAACAGCTAATTTGGCAATGAACGTGATTGTGCAATTGTCTATCTGCAGGTTGAATTTCAATAGATGTTGATTGGTGACTAAATTACACTCCTACAACACGCATCTTTGTTAAATGTCTGCTTTTAAAATCTTGGCCAGCTTTGCACCAAGTAATGGAACATTCTGCAGCTTTACAACTTTTTTATGACTGCTTTGGTTAAAAGGGACTTCATTTTTTATGCACTTGGTTTCTGTCAGTGTGAAGGAGTCGACTGCTCTAAGATCTTCACCCTGTCTGTGAGGGTGAACTCAACTCATTTGGGTCACTTTTATCAGCTATATTAGTGTACATGTGAATGCACAGAACACCGATTGACAGATTTATTGTAATAATCATTTCAGTCAAGCAGTTGTGCGTTTTAGAGTTGTTTTGTATGTTTGACTCATTTTGTCTTTTGTCAACTTTTATGTTGCTGTCTTGGCCAGTTCTCCTTTACATAATGTCGAAAATGAGTTTAACCTAACCTTTAACCTAAAAAGGAGAAGGTTAAAGCTGCACTAACAAATTATTTTTATTATTATTATCTGTAAGCTCTTCATTTTCTTTCTCTCACTCATTCGCTCAGCTAGCTGTTTTGGTTTTATGGCCCCCCTATTTTTGGTTCACTTTCACTTCTCTCATGACCTTTTGCTTCCAGCTGCAGAAGGTAGCTCTTCTTGGTCAAAAGGTTCAGATAAACCCACAGTACACTACAAACAGAAGACAGACACAGTTAGCGACTATCTGGTGAACACAGTGAAGCATTTAGCAGCTAAAGAGTCAGACTTTTCCTTCAAGAGTTGGTGGAAGCCAAAAACTGAAGACTGGACATATTACTGTATGTATGTTGGGGCCAGAAACACAACGCTAATGTTGCTCTGTGTCTGGTAGATGTGTAAACAGTTGCTAATAAGTTTGCCATAACAACAGTTGCCTATATCATCTGTATATGGTGTTAACATGTCAGTGTTATGTTTACAGCTTATTATGCTTATTATGATACTGACTATGCACAGTTTTAACCTTTTTATAAAAAATGTAGGGAGCTGGTTTCAAATCATGACAACTGTGTTTGTTGCTGTATAGAAAAGGTCAGTTCAGGTATGTGTGATTAGACCATTTGCGATTTCTTCTCTATGAGATGGTAGATGATTTATTTTTTTTTAAAAATTCTAATTTTGACTAACTTACATTTGGTCTGAACATATTTAATGTGACGAAAAGGATGACATCATTTCACTGTGAGCATTACTTTTCAGGATGCGCCTGAAAAATGAAAATGGTGTTTGATGGGTGAAGACTGTTGGCCAAAGCATCACCTCATTCGTCATATCAGTGATGGTTAAAGGACATGCAAGGTAGGTGTTAACCATTTAATAGCCTTTTCCCTACTGTTTGTTGGGGCACTGAATAATCCTCATTGAACCCTTTGATTCAGTAAACTGTCCATCGTTTACTGGGGACCATCATCTTTGTTGTCTAATTGGAAGAGCAGCTTTGAAGATAACACGATGGAGAGGATAAGGGCAATAAATCAGTCCTTTCATAAGCGACACCTCACACAAGTGCATCTCATGTTTTGTTCAACCTTGAAGAAAATCACTAGTCTAATTGTTATCATTATACAAGGTCTCTGGCTCTTAATTATTATCCACTGTACTCAAGAAGTTGTCCCTGACTCAGTCAGAAACACTAAAACATTTGTGCAGGACAAAACTCTCTCCTTTACTGGAGCAGCAGAGGCGATGGAAGACTTTGAACAACAGGTGAAACCTTCCCTTAATACGCCTAATTCCACTTGATAGCAGTTCTAGTGAAGGGGGAACCGTTAACACCAATAACTTATTGTGGACAGTAGTTAGGTTTGGCCAGGGGTGGACAGTAGTGAAGTACTTTTACTTGAGTACTGTACTTAAGTACATTTTTGCGTATCTGTACTTTACTTGAGTTCTTTACTTGACTACTACACTTGAAAGACAAATATTGTACTTTTGACTCCACTACATTTCTATGAAGTACTGAAGTACTCTTACTCTGAATCAGGGACTTTAATTGGTGGAATGAATTTTATTTTATTTTGAAGATGTGATAGACCAAACACTGTGTTCATCACAGGAGGAAAAACCAATCACAGCCAACTCCTCGACTGTCAGTCATGTTTGTGTGTTAACAATGGCGACGTCAGATTAAGATGAGGCAGAAGATTCCTCATGTTTGAAGGTTTAGAAATAAAGAGAAATAAAGATTCAATCATTTGAATACTTAAGTATTTTTAAAATGAAGTACTCCATTACGCAAGTGAAATTTTGACTGAACAACTTTCACTTGTATTGGAGTAATATTTGACCAGGAGGATCTATAGTTTGACTCAAGTAATGAAGTTGTGTATTTTGTCCACCTCTGGGTATGACAGACTACTGACTACAGAGTACTACTCTTGGCCTATTAGCTTAACTCTTTAATTTTTCTTTATTTGCTTTTTCCTTTCCTCTCCATCCCTTTTTAAGGAATGCACTTTGGAAATATTATATTACATTACTAACTTTATGACTAATTAAGTTGAACCATACAATAGTTACTGAAAGAAGCAGCATGAAAGTGTTTTCTTTTCTCCTTGTTTACGTGTGTCACAGCTCCACATAGATGGGGCGGAGTAAGAGGGGTCAGTTTGTGGTTCTTAATTGCCTGGGTTGTTTAATGTTTTTTTTTTTTCTTCAGTTGTGTTTGGCCTTTGTTTGTAACTGGATCATTCACTGTATATTTACAGCAAATATGATTGACACATAAAAAATGTGTCTGTCTTCTCACGGAACATACAGGGCATCAATGAAGTAAAAAAAACAAAATGCTGTAGCTGCTTGGAAATTATAAAGAAAAATGTAGATATTGCATTGTTACAAGAAACTCATTTATTACATCAATATATATACAAACTAGACAATGCAAACTTCAAGGTAGAAGCACATTCTCCAGCTGATAATAAAACAAAAGGAGTGATTATTTTTACTTCGTTCAAATCAAACGTTTTGTATAGTCAAAAGAGGAAAGGACCGAGAGGGAAGGACTACTCGTGAAAATAGTCATTAACAGTGTTAAAATGACACTCATTTCAGTGTATGCTCCCAATGCATATGACATTTTTTCCCTTTATCCACAGTTATTAATGAAATGAAGGATTTTAAAATTATTTTGGGAGGTGACATCAATGCAGATATTGATGCATGCTTAGACAAAACTTCGAAGACCAATATCACCTTATCAAGCACCCGTGCTCTAAAGAATCTGATATCTATATGAGGCCTTTTAGATATATGGCGTACACATTATCCGCAAAAAAGGGATTATACATCTTACTCAGGAAGACACAACTCCTTTTCAAGGATAGATTATATATTAGACTCTTTTGAAATGATACATATGATTTCAATCTCTCTTCTACAGAACACTGCTTTTTGCAATCAATTAAAAGAAGCCCTGAAACAATTTTTATATATTAATAAGGATTCGGTCTCAGATGCTCGAATTCTGTAGGACACCATTTAAAGGATTTATAAGGAATAATTCAATATAATTTGCATCTGGTCAAAATAGAGCACAATTAAAAGAAATTACCAATATGGAATATGTTCTGGCATCACTAATCCACCAACAACACATAAATGTTTCAGCAGAATTTTAAAAAAAAAGAAATATCTATGATTAAAATACATTTAAATAGTGTCCTTGGATCACAGGTCTTAATTCCCAGAGCAAGGCGATCCCAGTATGTTGATGGGAGTAAGCCCAGCTTTTTACTGGCCAGCAAGTTGCATAATAATGAACACTTGGCAGATATACCTTTAATTTAGGCATCCTCTTGCAGGAGCCCTTATTAATTAATCAACAATTCGAAAGATTTTTATCAAAAATTATATCAAAGTGAAACAAATGAAAAGTGGGATCTTATTGACATATGATGTGGGGCTGCCCAGATGTGAAGCACTTTTGTTCTAGAGTTGAACATGTGTTATCAGATGCAACCAGGATTTGTATTCCCTGCTCACTTGTTGTTTTACTTCTAAATGATTATTCAGCAGTTAATGTTACAAAATCACAGAGAAGACTTTTACTTCTGGGTCTGTCAGCCACCAAAAAGTTGTTGACATTAAGTTGGAAGCCTCCCCATAGACTTCAGATCTTCCAGTGGATCATCTCATTGAAAAACATCATAATATTTGTTTTTGTAATGATGACTGTAGGCAGCATGTTAGGAAAATGAGCTGGAAGTCTTGTGTTGTCTGAGTGTGAGTGGTGGTAATGATTCTATTTGACATCATTATTAGCCAACAGTTGTCAGCATGTTGTCTTGGTTAAAGGTTAAGGCTGATGCTATTCTCTATATTTAATGTCAACAAATCCCCCAAAAAATGCCCAAAACCAGCAATGCTTTAGTCTGTTTTCCATTACTTCCCTACCCTCTCTGTGGCACCCAGCCCCAACCTCATTTGACCCTACTGAAGATGTAACACTTTATAAACAAGGCACAAATAAGGACCCTTAATTGGCTAAAACACCTGGGCACTGTGATTTTGACAGATATACTATGTATTTGCTGGGGATTATTTTAAGTCGTGGATTAATACACATTTGGGGCTCTGGGTGGGTATTTCTGGAGGCAGAACAGTGAAAGTGTGATTCACTCAAAATACAGGACACTGCGTAAGTTCATGGTCATGGAATGTGTGCAACTGATTGCAACAGTGTGATTTACTGACGTGTTTATGTCTTTGCATAACAATCAAGCTCCACGACAAAGAGGAATAAGAAATAGAGAAAACTTTCTAGTAGAATCTGTTTGTTGTTGTTTTTCGTCTTTTATTGTCTTTTATTGACAATAAGAAAAAAAGGTATATATGTAAACAAGTGTTTGCATTTATCGTGCAGGGTCTCTTAAAGCTTTTTTCAAGGACACATGAATGTAAAACTGAGAGATAATATTGCCCAAAGCACAAGTAGTGAACTTTAGATAAGCAGTCAAAAGGTACGTTACATATTAACCAACATGTATTGGCTAATCATTACAGATATTGTATGAAGGTTTAAGCTACTGTACTGCATTTATGATCTCTGATGCTGTAATGAGAAACAGACTAAAGATAGGGGGGGGGCAATGAGCAGAGTTGATATTCAAAGGCTCAAGTGAATGGAAACGGACAGAAAAGTGGGCGGGAGTCTTAGAGAATCTGCACAGATATAAACAAACAAAAAAAAAAAACTAAAAGACTGGAAGTTAGCAAACAAGAGAGAAATCTGTTCCAGCCGTAGTTGGTAGAATCAGGATTCCTCAGAAGGGAAGAAAGTTTAGGGACAATAAGAAAAAAAGAGCAGTGCATTTAAAAGTGTGTAAGAGTTTAAGAAATGGTATCCAAGGTTATCTCTGCTGTTTGTTTAGCACTGTGGGTCAGTTCTTGTGCCTTCACCTTGGCTGAGGATCCTCACATGACCAGAGCTCTGAAGCTGATGTCTGAGACACCGCTCATTGACGGGTAAGTAAATGCCTTGCATAAAGGAAAATGTGCTTTGCATGATAGTTTTAAAAATGGTATATGCGATTTGCCACGTGAGTACCAACAGCAGTAAATGTACATTCTTTAGTAAACGCTCACGTCTGGAAGCAATTTCTAGGGCTTGTCAAAACAAATAGTTTTGCTCCCTGCTGTAAAACCCCTTTGTAAGTTTTGAGAAAAGGCTCTGTTAGTGTGTGACAATTTATTTTCTTATTTTTCAGTCACAACGATCTACCTTGGCAACTTCGAAAGCAATTCAACAATGAGCTCAACGAAGTAGATCTTAACACACTCAACACAACGCACACCAACATCCCTAAGATCAAGGAGGGACGGCTGGGAGCGCAGGTACGTACAGAACAGAATGTACTGGGAACTGGAAATTTATCCTTTCAATGTCAGAGGATACTTTATCTTCTGTCTCCCCCCCATCCTATCTTCAAAACTGCTTCACAGATGTCATTTCAGACATTTTCTTGCAATAATATTGAAATAAAGAAGTTTGGTATCATTGAGAGGTGCAAGGAATATCTCTCAACTCACCAGGGCCCAAAACTTCTCAAGGGTAAAAGTAGCTCCTAACTTGCTGATTTAGGAAAAACTCCAAAAAATAATGGACATATCAGTCCTAACTTTAGGACTCCTAATTTTCTGACTAACAGTAATTCACAAAGCCTCGATCGGTTATTGGCTAGATGATCCACAAAATTATTTAGTCTGCGGTCTCAGTTTACCTTATATAAAAATATGCAGATCAATTCTACACAGTGAAGTATAAATTTGAAATATCAGGAAACATGCACTGGTGTGAGATCAGTACTCTGAGTTGAGATACTGGGACAGGGTGAGAAAAGTCAGATCAGTGCATCTTTAATTGTGATACCCTGCACATTTATGTATCAGATTCAGGACTGTGACATTCTCTATAATAATATCCATTCCTGTTGTATTTTTTATGTTTAATCACATACTCATGATAAATTATTGGACTACAATGAGGATACAGAAAAAGATTCAGTCAATGTTAGTCTTGAAAAACCTGAAATACCTCCTGTAAAATACTACAGCTCACTCTCTCTTGCTGTTGTTGACTTCTCCATCAGTTCCCTGTCGCCTTTTGGCTGTGGTTTGATATACTGGGGAGGAAAATGAAATTAGGGCATTTACGAAAAGAAAGCAGGCTAAATAAGTCACTTGTTCTGTCTGTCTATCTTGTCTATCTGTGGCACCTAACATGTAACTTATAGCACTGTCCGTGATTCTGAAACAATACCTAAGCAATAGTCATCAATGGGAAATTAAAGAATGTCAGAAAAGATCATATTAAATATTACACAACAGATTTTGATGGTGACAAAGGAGGTGCCGTATCCAATCGAATAGGTGCTGATACGGTATAAATTAAGCCTCTGTAGCAATAGCTATCATTAAATGTACAAAATTATCATATTCCCTTAGCAAGTTACCAAATGACCCACTCATTAGGTTTTTATTTATTTATCTATTTTATTGGTTGATTAATTAATTAATGTTCCCCGTTTTATTTTCTTCCTGGCAAAAAAAAAAAAAAGAAAAAAGATCATCATTTGACTCTCGGGGCTTTTTTCCACAGATGAAAAAAAAACTTAGAAAAATGATCCTGGCAAAAAAGATTTCACTTGCCTTTCAGGGCTTCCGTAGATCTACAGTAGGCAAGCGTATGATTTCTAATAATAAGTCTGATTGTTGAAAAGTTGCTGTATGTATTTCAAACATATGTATTTCCCTGGCTACACAGCAATGCAGATAACTTGTACATTATCCATTGTTCTTCTCTCAGTTCTGGTCAGCCTATGTTCCCTGTGAGAGTCAGTACAAAGATGCAGTCAGACAAACACTGGAGCAAATAGATGTGGTTCACAGGATGTGCCAAAAATACCCAGAAACCTTCATGTTTGCCACCAGTAGCCAAGGTGAGACTTTTAGCTTTAACTTTTGATTTAAGAGACATTTACAACGCTTTGTCATACCTGCCTCTGCCTCCTGGCTGAATCACCTGTCATCTCTCATGTCTGCACTGCACAGAAATCATGAATGCCTTCAGCATGAGCAAAACAGCCAGTCTGATTGGAGTGGAGGGGGGTCATTCAATAGACAGCAGTCTGGGAACCCTCCGCATCATGTACCAGCTGGGCGTCCGTTACCTCACTCTCACACACTCCTGCAACACACCATGGTAAGAGCCAGCAGTACGGCAGATTTTATGCCTTCAAATACACAAAGGGGGATACACACATATGTGACATTACAACAGTCATACAAGCGTCACACAAGCATGTATGTATGTGTGTGTTTTTATTCAATTTACTGTTACTTAAAGTAGCAATCTTAAAGATCTACAGCACAGCGCACAGAAAGTCATAGGAAGATTATTGAGACAATATTTTGACATTTAGACATTATAGGTAGGAATCATGAAGCTTCAGTGTCTGTATTTATTACCTTACTTTCAGTTACATCTGTGTGGTGTATTGCAGTCAGTTAAGGTTGTGGTGTGGAGAGTATGGGGGTTTCCTGCAGGCCTTATGTTCTCCCCTGGCACTGGTATCAGATTCTCTGGAGGAGCCACTCTATTTGTAATGATATTTACAGAGTACAGTATGTGGCCTTTGAAGAGCACTTGAATGAAGTTCCTAAGCTAGAAATGTGATACCTGGTTATTCTGTGGTAAATCCAAAGAATCAAAATGAATTTCCTCCATTGGTCAGTTTGACTTTTACATGGTAACATTTTTTTTTTTTTTTTTTGATGTCAGGGCAGATAACTGGCTTGTTGACACTGGATCAGAGCCATCTCAACACAATGGTCTGTCTCCATTTGGCAAGGTCTGAGTACAAGCAGTATTGCTTTAAGTTTAATAAGTTACAAATTACTGTCTTAAAATGTTATACTATCATCAACAAGGTATCATCAAACATCACCTGCAAGATGTGTAAAACAACAAGAACTTACAGAAAAAGACTGTAATGTCAAAGTCTCTTAAACATTACTGATAGTAGAAATGGAATAAATAATGATATTTAGCACATTTCACATAGGTTTTATATTTCATTGGTACCACCAATTATTGATCATAGAAATAATCATAATGCTTTCCCACAACAGCAACTAATTGTGGAAATGAATCGTCTGGGGATGCTGATCGATCTGGCCCATGTGACTGTTGCAGTCATGAACCAAGTGCTGGACATGTCCAAAGCTCCTGTCATCTTCAGCCACTCTTCTGCCTACAAAGTCTGTCCACATAAAAGAAACGTCCCTGATGATATTCTCAAGAGCGTCGTGAGTCTGTGTGTGTGTGTGTGTGTGTGTGCGTCTGTTAATGTGTCTGTGTGTGGTTCGGGTTCAAGGCCCTGAAGACGGGAGGTGGAGAGAAAGTGGAACAACCAGCAGGGTAATCACAAGGCTAAGGAGTAAAGACATGTATACTGAACAGCAGTGGAAGAAGTATTCAGATTTTCTAAAAGTACTAATACGTCTATTTTGAGTAAGTGCTCATTATGCATAAACATGGCCCTTATGTGTGATATATTATTTACATGGGATTAGAAGATTGTTAATGCTGTGTAAACAGCATTTCACTGTTGTAGCTGGTGGAGGTTGAGCTATTTTTAATTAATTAATTTATGTACAGGAAGTTTAGTCCGTGGCTCTCAACCTAGGGGTCAATCCCCTCCCAAGAGTCACAACATAGATCTGAGGTGTTGTGAGACTTTTGACACAAATCTGTATTCATTATTCTGTAATATTGGATAATCCTACCTCTTTGGCCCTCAAACTGTTATTTAAATGAAGCCATCTGAAAAGTTTAGAGGGTATATATCTTTTTGGTGGAACCGGTGCCCAAACTAGATGTTGCTTTTAGTGAGTAGTCACAAGCCAAAATGATTGAGAACCACTTGTATAGTTCATAACAACAATATTGTATTTTATTGTATTTTCAAATTTTTTATGTGAAACTTTAATCTGACAATAGCTGACAAATAAATGTAGTGGCATATAAAAAGTACTACATTTCCCTTGTGGGAGTAGAAATATGAGTGCATGAAATGTTACTGAGCTTTTTTAGACCACTGATATTGGATATGGAAAAGCAGAAAGTTTCAGATGTCCAGGCTACTGAAGCTGTTAAGCACTATGAAAACACATCTCACCTTACTGACACACCCATAAGTAAGTCTTAATGGCGCCAATGGGTTCAGCAGCTGCACTGCAACTGATGTGTAATCGCAGTTCCCCAGCTAAGGGCTATAAAGCAAGAGGATTATTGTGCTGCAATGTAAAATAGCAAACAGATAAAAGACAGTTCCAACCAGGAAACAGGCATTCTGATAGATAAGACAGTAGAGGTCAGTACCCTCATGTACTTGGATTATTGCCTAGTTGAACGCATCTCTTGCTGTTCTGCACTCAATCAGTTCAGACAGTCTCCTGTCTAATAAAGCAGAAATTACCCAGTGTCTTGTTCCAGCCATAGATCAGAGTGTCTAGGTCAGTACTTTATGTGTTTTCACTGCCATGTAACATCTGGTCTGTCTCTCCAGAATCAAACTGGGGGAATCGTCATGGTGAACTTCTACAATGACTATGTGACCTGCAACAAGATGGCAAAGCTCTCAGATGTTGCTGGTAAATGAACTTTGTGATCATGACAACTACTGTAAATCTGGTTAGATATTGTTAAATATTAAGACCTATCATTCTTTCCAAAAAAAAAAGCCCCTGTGTTAATGCACTTGATTCTCCATTTCACTGTAGATCACTTTGATCATATAAAGAAAGTGGCCGGGGCAGGTATCATTGGTTTTGGTGGAGATTATGATGGCGTTACCAGGTTCGTATAAATTATTCCAGCATTCACTTAAAGACGAAAAAGACAATGTTCTTGATAAGCTGCTTATGACGAGAGATGGAATCTTACATGAATTTGCAATATTTTGCAAAGTTAGAACAGTTTTGGTTATTGACAGAGTTCTGTATTTGTATTTTTGTCCTAATTTTTCTTTTTTCTGTTACATATGTTCATACATAAATTTGAATCAAAATTTGATGACAGTAGTGGGATTGTATGATGTCAGCACCTCATGCACGTCTCCATGAAGCACAGTAGATAAGTTTTTGAGTGTTAAACTCTTCATAAATAATAACTAAGGATGTTTTTCACCCTAAAACTAGTGAATATTTAATCTCATAGAGAAACTCAGGAGAGGAACACAGGAGAGCTGCGTTGATACAATACAAAAATACATAAACAAATAAATAACCCATAAGACACTTGACATGATAGTTAAGTGTAACTACTAGGAAGTAAAATCAGCCATCCTGCATGTCATCCTCTCAGACTACCAGAGGGTTTGGAGGATGTGTCCAAGGTGCCCAAACTTGTGGCTGAACTGCTGAGGAGAGGATGGACTGATGACGAGGTCAAAGCTGCTCTGGGAAATAACCTGCTCCGGGTCCTGACAGCGGTTGAGAAGGTGATGAATAGACACACACAACTTTGAACCCTGTGTGTGTGTTTCTGATATCAGTTCAAGCACCATGCAAAAAACCCCACCTAACTGCTCTTTTGCATTTTATTTCTTGACAAAGAGGCACTCTACTGAGTTTACACATTCAGAGTTTGATCCAGGAAGTAACAATATATGGCATGACTAGCTCACTTCAGTAAATGATCATCTTAGTTTTCTATCAGAGGTACATTCAAATACTCAAATGATTTATATTAAATACTGATTGCTTAAAATGGAGGTCTTGGTGCTTTGGTAGCAGGTGGACACAGAGAGCACACACCTATCACAGTGCTTTCCTGTCTGTTGCTGATAGTCTTATCTTTGTGTGTGTCAGGTCCGTGACAGTTTGAGCGGCACAAATCCAGACGATGTTCCTATTCCATATGAGGAGGTGAAGAACCCGTGTAGGACAAGCTACGGGTACCCCAATGCTGGAGCCATCCGATCACTGAGTGCTCTGGTCCTGCTGCTTACACTGGCTCTTCAGGCTCTTGTCACAGTTTAACAGTCTGATTATCAGTGCAACTGATTGTATGTAAGTCAAGAGTTTGAAGAGTTTTTAATGAAATCTCTAAAATCTGAAAACTTCTGTTTGTTTTTTTTCACATATCCCTCTGTACTGACAGCTGCAGTTTGAATTGTCTTTAACAGCTTGTTTCTTGTCCTTTTTAATGTTTTTCTGACAGTTTTACAGGTTAACTTTAGTAAAAAACAGAAAGACCAAAAACCAGTGACTCACAGCGTCACTGTTATCATAACAAAAAGGGCCAAATTTATCTTATTTGTACTGTTTTATCTGTCACCACACAACTGTCTGAAAGAGTGCGTGATGACCAGGACATACAGATGAAGTCACACAAGTGTAACCTGAAAGAACGCATACTAAATTGTCATTGTGATCCATCTAGTGTCCGGAGGAGGTAATATGTCTGAGAGCTTTCAAACAGCAATTTTGTTGTTGTATATTTTGAATTTAATTTACAGATAAATTGGTTCACTTTACAGTAGAGACAAGAAATAAGTCAATATTTCTTAGTTATTTAGGATTTGGTTTTGAAATTCTTACAGTTGGTCATAAAAACTCAGATTCCACTGTTTTTTTTTAATTGATACAAAACTTGTTTGCCCCCTGAAGGTAAAAAAATTAATTCTGACTAGCAATGCACAAACTGTTACACAATAAAACCTCCTTCAGGCTGATCAAGTAGAATGTTTTTCTCATAGAACACACACACACACAAAAGGCAACCTTGAGGAGTGAAACATTCTTTCAGTGCTGAAGTAATCACATTCACTATACAAGCTGTAAAGGCACTAACATGCAGAATGTCCTCACTTTTTAACATTAAATACAGAGAAACCTGTAAACAGAATCAGGTTTATGGCAGTCCTTGTGGAAATATCTAATGATCCTCATTTAAGAGTGGCTCTATTAAATTCTGAAGCATTGAAACCACAGTACTCCAGTGAGTCATGTTTAACTCCAAGGACACAATTCATAGTCACAAGACTGAGATAGTTTTCACTTTTCATCTGCCATCTACAGTGGTTTGTAAATTTGCAAGTTCAGTGTTTGAAGAGAAACTACATTTAAAAAAAGAGCACCTTTTTAAATAGTTGGTAAATTAATCAAGTGGTTTATAGAATGAACCAACTCATCAGCCAAAGACAGAATTCCCCATCAACTGGTTTGTATCTGGTGTTCATATTCCACACAGATAACCACAGTGTTTCCTTAACTCAGTGATCAGTGCATCATTAGTGCCCTCTTGTGTGCTTCACAAATATAACAACACAAGACTTCCTCAACAACAGCTTGAGCTAGTCTTGTGCGTCAATGGTGCTCCTTGGGCTCCTCTCAGACACTGCTGGTGAATCAGATGAAAATACTTAATGAAAAGTGCACGAGTTACTAATAAATGGACAAAGGGCTGCTGCTCACATGATCACCAGCAGCTGCACGGTTGAGCCAGCTTCGCTGGTGAAACTAATGTCTAAGAATCTGGTTTGAATGCCTCCACACAGACAGAACATGCAATGTCACAGTTCAAAGAGGACTTTTCTAGCCCTCACATAAAGTTGGATGACCAAAAAGAAAAAAGTCAAGGAAAGCCACTGGTTTTAAATGCATTACCTGGATCCACAAGAGGAAATACCACCGCACAGTAACAGCTTCAAGTGTAAAATATAACAAAGATTTATATACAGCTGAAAATTGACAGACTTGGAGCTGTCGATCTAAAGTGCACTGCATCCAAGCCGAGGCCAGTTCTTCAGCTGAGTTATGACTAGCCAGTGACTCAGACAATAACCCAATGAAGGATGGTAGACTGTCAGAGGTATGTGTAGAAGGAAAAGGGATAATCCAAGTCTGTAAAGAAGAGGAGATTCCTAAGATGTGACCTCTCTCGGTGTCTCATTCTCTTGTCCCTGTGTTTCACTGTCTGACAGCAGAGGGGAATGAGTTGGCACAGCGATCCTATAAGGCAAAGTATCTTTAGTCAACATCCTCCTGGTGGCAGAAACCAAGCGGGAATAGTTATCAGGGTTGTACTCCGACAAAGGGGGCCTGGTGCGCAGTAAAGGCAGGTTGTCCCTGTCAGGCCTGGACAGGAAGAGAGGCGGTCGTCGCTGGCTCTCGCCCTCTTTCAGGGAGTTTGGGAGTGGCTTGCGTTTGCTTTCAGGTAGGAGCATTATGCAGAGAACGGAGAGGACAGCGAAGGAGGCGAAGATGACATGGTGGAGGAAGTAGCCACTGTTATTCTGGAGCTCCATCAGGGAGGAGGCGGCCATGCCAACACAACCTGCTGCCAGCACCAGGCCGAGGCAACCACCTCTGACAGAAATATGGAAAAGAGGAACAAAAACCGTCAAGGCAAGGTATAATGAACAGACAATACTTCATATCTTGTGTTGACTGGACTAATGGACTAATACACATTCAGAATACGCAATGCAAGGCTTTAGTTACAAAGGCAATATTTCTCAGGATTAATTCATTATTTGTTTTGGTCTTTTCAGGGAATTAGATGATAATACTGTGCAAAAGTCTTAGGCACTTCAGATGTTTAGATTATTATCTATCAAAATATCGTCAGAAATTCATTCTGCAGCATGACAACGTCCACAAACATGCAGCCAACATCATAACAAACTATGTTCAGAGACATGAAAAACTGTGCAAAGGTGTATGTAGGAGAATTTTTTTTTTCCACTTTATTTGTAGTGTCAAAGTTTTGTACTGTATTACAGTAAATAACGGCAGCGTCATCACTTTGGTCAAGAAGAAATACACTTACCGAACTACAGTTGGCATCACCTCACAGGCAAAGAACACACTGAGCATGGCGAGAGCCTGAGAAAACAGCAGACCCACGACGGAGAGCACCAACACCAGGCCTCCATGCAGGTCTGACACAAACACAGACACATAAACGAAACTGAACCCATTTTTTGTGTATACTATAAATGTTGCTAAAAATAGTTAAAAAGAGAGACAGAGAGATGTAGCTGTTACATACACTGAGTGAGGGCCAGAAGCAGCAGTGACGACAGCCCAGTGATGATGGCCGAAAATAGAAGAATACCACGCCGACCAAAGTGATTGACAGTCAAACAGATGAAGATGCAGGCCAGAGCTCCAGTTATCACTCTGAGAAAGTAGCTGAAGTAGAAGTTGGTGGAATAACTGTGCAAGTTTCTGGTGAAACAGTATTGGATGCCTGTTCCAATGAACCTGGAGAGGAGGGAAGGGAGAGTTGGACCATAATCAAGATACTGTATTTGCAGTTGTTTACACACAATGTGTGTCTCAAGGCTTAAAAATCATTTTTTAATCTTTCTGCTCACCTTCCTCCACATCTCACTTTTTATCATGAAATAAATATTTCAGTGGGTAAAATCAGTGAGGCAAGATCAATTTCATCTTGATTCACATGCAGAAGACAAACTTACAGAGTGAAGCTGAGGATGAGGCAGTTCTTCCAGATAATACGAGTCTGACGCAGCTCTAGAACTGAATGGTACCTTGGTCGACAGTCCTCTCCGTATGCTGTATCTATGTCTATAAACAGAAAAAGAAGATTTAAAACCATCAACAAATCAAGCCACAAATGTCCAGTACTTGTCCTCCTTCGATGTAATCCAAGAAGGTTATGATGGAAAATCTATCCGTTACGAATCAATTGAGTATATTACAATACAAGTTTGTTGGTTGAAACCTGATTCTTCCTTATTCAATATATATATGCAAAAAGCATGACAACTTTATGAGATGGGGAAAATAACATATACACTAATTCCCAAATAATTATGAGATGGAGTCCAGTATTGACCCTGATAATACATTAACGTATCATTCAACTAATCCTATTCCTTCTTAAAGTATAGTATAGTAAGGCATAAAAATTCATAGTATTGTAGGTCATAAAAGAAACGCCAAAGTCTAGTAATGGCATAAAAATGTCAAAAATAGTTAAACTATACTAACTATAAAAATGTTATAACATAGTAAGGCATAAAAATGCCAAAAAAAGTCATAGTATAGTAAGGCATAAAATGTCATAAAACGTCATAGTATAGCAAGGCATAAAAATGTCAAAAAAAGGTCATTGTATAGTAATGCATAAAATGTCATAGTATAGTGAGGCATTTGACGTTATAGTATGGTAAGGTATAAAAATGCCAAAATACATTAAAGCGTAAAAACATCAAAAAACTTCATAGTATAGAGGAAATCATAAAATCGGCATAAAAAAGTCATAGTATAGTAAGGCATAAAAAAAACAAAAATAAAACGCATTAGTATGGTAAAGCAAAAAATTGTCATAAAAACATCATATTATAGTAAGGCAAAAAACATCAAACAATGTCATATTATAGTAAGGCATAAAATGTCATAGTATATTAAGGTATAAAATGTCAAAACGTCATAGTATAGTAAGGCATACAATTTCATGAAAACAACAAAGTTTAGTAAGGCATAAAGATGTCATAGTATAGTAAGGCACCAAAAGTCAAAGAAAGGACATTGTATAGTAAGGCATAAAAATGTCATAGGCAAGGCAAAAAAAGTCATAAAAACAACATAGTATAGTGAGGCTTAAAAAAATCATAAAAATTAAATAGTTTAGTAAGGCATAAAAAGTCATAAAAAGGTCATGGTATAGTAACGTATAAAAAGTAATAAAAAAGACAAAGTATAATAAGGCATATAGAGTTAAAGTACTGTAAGGTACTAGAGGTTCCTTTTAACCTAATGTGAATGTTTTTTGAATGTGAAAGTTGTATCGGGCTTCAAACCCCAGCCTTCTTGTTGCAGGGCATTAGGTCTAACCATTGCACCACCAAGCTTACCTGTTAAGAGTCATAATATAGTAACATACAACAACATCATACAAGTAAGGAAATAAAGGTCATAAAAACGACATTGTATGGTTAGGCATAAAAATGTCATAGTAAAGTAAGGCATAAAAAGTCATAAAAATAACATAGTATAGTAAAGCACAAAATGTCATAGTATAGGAAGTCATAAAATGTCATAAAATGTCATAGTATAGTAAGGCATGAAAACGTCAAAAAACATCATAGAATAGTAAGGCATAAAATGTCAAAAACGTCACAGTATAGTAAGTCATAAAACATCATAATATAGTAAGGCATAAAATGTCATAGTATAGTAAGGCATAAAACATAATATAGTAAGGCATAAAATGTCATAGTATAGTAAGGGATGAAATGTCAAAACGTCATGGTATAGTAAGTTATAAAAATGCCAAAAAAAGTCATAGTATAGTAAGGCATATAAACGTCAAAAAAAGTCACAGTTTAGTAAGGCATAAAAATGCAAAAAAAAGTGCATTAGTATAGTAAGGCATAAAAACTGCATAAAACCATCATAGTACTGTAAGGCAAAAAATTTTCATAACAATGTCATAGTATAGTAAGGCATAAAAACGTCAAAAAACATAGTATAGTAAGGCATAAAAACTGCATAAAACCATCATAGTACTGTAAGGCAAAAAATTTTCATAAAAATGTCATAGTATAGTAAGGCATAAAAACTGCATAAAACCATCATAGTATTGTAAGGCATAAAATGTCATAAAATGTCATGGTATAGTAAGGCATAAAAATGCCAAAAAAAATTCCACAGTATAGTGAGGCATAAAATGTCATAAAACATAGTATAGCAAGGCATAAAAATGCCACAGTATAGTAAGGCATAAAATGTCATAAAACGTCATAGTATAGCAAGGCATAAAATGTCATAATATAGTAAGGCATATAAACATCAAAAAACATCATAGAATAGTAAGGCCTAAAATGCCATAAAACGTCATAGTATAGCAAGGCATAAAATGTCATAATATAGTAAGGCATATAAACATCAAAAAACATCATAGAATAGTAAGGCCTAAAATGCCATAAAACGTCATAGTATAGCAAGGCATAAAATGTCATAATATAGTAAGGCATAAAATGTAATAGTATAGTAAGGCATAAAAACATCAAAGTATGATAAGGCATAAAAAGTCACATTAAAGTAAGGCATAAAAAAGTTATAGTACAGTAAGTAATAAAAATGTCATAGTATAGTAAGGCATAAAACATCATAATATAGTAAGGCATAAAATGTCATAGTATATATAGTAAGGCATGAAAACGTCAAAAAACATCATAGAATAGTAAGGCATAAAATGTCATAAAACGTCATGGTATAGTAAGCTATAAAAATGCCCAAAAAAAGTCATAGTATAGTAAGGCATATAAACATCAAAAAACGTAATAGTATAGTAAGGCAGAACAACTTAAAAAAACGTCATAGTATAGTAAAGGATAAAAACATAAAAAAAACGTTATAGTATAGCAAGGCATAAAAATGCCAAAAAAAATGCCACAGTATAATAAGGCAAAAAATTGTCATAAAAACGTCATAGTATAGTAAGGCATAAAACATCAAAGTATGATAAGGTATTAAATGTCATAAAAACGTCACAGTATAGTAAGGCATGAAAACGTCAAAAAACATCATACAATAGTAAGGCATAAAATGTCAGAAAACGTCATGGTATAGTAAGTTATAAAAAAAATGCCAAAAAAAGTCATAGTGTAGTAAGGCATAAAAATGCAAAAAAAAAAACAAAAAAAAACGCATAAGTATAGTAAGGCAAAAAATTGTCATAAAAACGTCATAGTATAGTAAGACATAAAAACTGCATAAAACCGTCATAGTATTGTAAGGCAAAAAATTTTCATAAAAATGTCATAGTATAGTAAGGCATAAAATGTCAAAAAAGTCATAGTATAGTAAGGCATATAAACGTCAAAAAACGTCATAGTATAGTAAGGCATAAAACATTATAATATAGTAATGCATTAACATGTCATAGTATAGTAAGGCAGAACAACTTAAAAAAACATTATAGTATAGCAAGGCATAAAAATGCCCAAAAAATGCCACAGTATAATAAGGCAAAAAATTGTCATAAAAACATCATAGTATAGCAAGGCATAAAAACTGCATAAAACCATTATAGTATTGTAAGGCAAAAAAATTTCATAAAAATGTCATAGTATAGTAAGGCATTAAAAACTGCATAAAACATCATGGTATAGTAAGTTATAAAAATGCCCAAAAAAAGTCATAGTAAAGTAAGGCATATAAACGTCATAGTATAGTAAGGCATAAAATGTCATAATATGTTATAGTATAGCANATAGTAAGGCATAAAATGTCATAGTAAAGTAAGGCATGAAAATGTCAAAAAACATCATAGAATAGTAAGGCATAAAATGTCATAAAAAAGTCATAGTATAGTAAGGCATAAAAAGTCATAAAAACGTCATAGTATAGCAAGGCATAAAAATGCCACAGTATGATAAGGCATAAAATGTCATAAAAATGTCATAGTATAGTAAGGCATAAAATGTCATAAAACATCATGGTATAGTAAGGCATATAAACGTCAAAAAACGTCATAGTATAGTAAGGCATAAAACATTATAATATAGTAATGCATTAACATGTCATAGTATAGTAAGGCAGAACAACTTAAAAAAACATTATAGTATAGCAAGGCATAAAAATGCCAAAAAAATGCCACAGTATAGTAAGGCATAAAATGTCATAAAACGACATAGTAAAACAAGGCATAAAAAGTCATAATATAGTAAGGCATAAAATGTCATAGTATAGTAAGGCATAAAAACATCAAAAAACATCATAGAATAGTAAGGCATAGAATATCATAAAACATCATAGTATAGCAAGGCGCCAAAAAAATGTCATAGTATAGTAAGGCATATAAACGTCAAAAAACGTCACAGTATAGTAAGGCATAAAAATGATTTTAAAAAAAACGCATTAGTATAGTAAGGCAAAAAAATTTCATAAAAAAGTCATAGTATAGTAAGGCATAAAAAACGTCAAAAAACGTCATAGTATAGTAAGGCATAAAACATTATAATATAGTAATGCATTAAAACGTCATAGTATAGTAAGGGATAAAAACATAAAAAAAAACGTTATAGTATAGCAAGGCATAAAAATGTCAAAAAACACCATAGTATAGTAAGGCATAAAATGTCATAATACGTTATAGTATAGCAAGGCATAAAATGTCATAATATAGTAAGGCATAAAACATCATAGTATAGTAAGTTATAAAAATGCCAAAAAAAGTCATATAGTAAGGCATATAAACATCAAAAAACGTCATAGTACAGTAAGACATTTTGATGTTATTGTATAGTAAGGCATAAAAATGTAAAAAAAAGCGTCATAGTATAGGAGGCATAAAAAAGGCATAAAAATGTCATAGTATAGTAAGGTATTCAATTTTATTAAATAGTCATAGCATAATGAGTAAATCTTTTTGTTTCTCTCTCTCTCTCTCTCTCTCTCTCTCTAATAGGAGTCCAGGGCCTGTGCACACCTGCTGTCAATTACGTCCTGACATAAAAGGAGGGACCTTTTGAGCGGAGAGGGCCCCTGCTGTCACAGTTGCCACCTACCTGTCAAGTGCTTCGGAGCGGAATCTCCTCCCAACCTGATCCTCGTTC